TAAAACCTTATTCAAACTTGTTCCAATCCTCAAAACACGTCAAACAACGCTAAAACCATTAAATCACATCGGATTCAAGCCTAAGTTTCTTAAAAACTTCCGAAACTCACATTCGATCAAAAACCCAACCAAACGACGTCCAAATGACCTCAAATTTTACCCGCACATCCAAAACACCTAATGAAGCTACTGCAACTCTCGGAATTCCATTCCGACCCCCGGATCAAAATCTTACCTACCAACCGAAATTCGCCAAAATTCATCATTCGCCAATTCAAGCCTAACTCTACACTGGACCTCCAAATTCAATTCCAATCACACTCCTACGTCACAAATCATCCCCCGAAGCTAACCGAATCATCGGAATTCACATCCGAGCCCTCTAACTACATAGTCAACTTCCGGTTGACTTTTTCAAAACAAGCTTCCTTCTAAGAGGCTAAGTGCCTCATTTCCAACTAAAACCAATCCAATTCCATCCGATCACCTCAAATACCAATACTAAAATGCAGGGGAACATAATATGGGGACAACGGGGCGGTAACTCACGTGACGACGGGCCGGATCGTCACAGAAGTAGACTTAGAAGCTTTTGATGAATCTGATCATGAAAATGGAGATGACTTCAGTGCAGATGAAGAATATCTTTCTGATGAGTTTTATGAAATTGAGGATGATGACTGGTTGTAATTTTCAACTAGTCTTTAAGATAATTTTGCCTATTTCAATCGCTTTCTTCACAGAAATATTTCCATCACCTTGCCGAAATGGTTAATTTCTTTTCTATTTCTCTAATTTCTTTATAATTTTTGCTTTCAATTGATTTGTTTCTCTCGGTTTCTGAAAATATATTGTCTCTTTCTTAGTATTTTGCTTCTGTCACTTACGACTAGTCCAATAATATAATTTTTTTAATGTGTTGCAGCATATAATGATGACGGATGTGCATGTTTCTAATGATGATGAAACTATTGATGTAATCTCAAACCCACCGCCAGGTAAGTTAATTTATTTGTTAAAATTCTGCCCTATAAAATCTCTAGCTTGTATAGTTATGTTTACTATACATCTAAATATTTTCATATATAGCTGAAGGTAAAAAGAGAAAAGGAAGAGGGAAGACAACAGGACTTTCAATCCAAAAGAAACGCAAAGATAGTGACAATGGAAAGTAGAAGGTGATTATTCCACCAGATCGAACTGTAACAGTAGGTCCTGGAGCTAATGATTTCATTACTGAGCTCTCTGTTAATGTTATGCATAATGTTAGGCATGATGTCAAGAATTGGAAGGAAGTTCCTGATATAGCAAAAGATAGGATTGTTGCTCATATGCTGGTAATTCACTCTGTTCCCTTAGAATTTTCTTGTTGGTTTAGTAAACATAAGCAAACTCTCAATGTAAGTATACAAATATAGAGAAGCTGACTCTGAAACAGTCCTCGGTTCATTGGCAGACAATCACAACTCTATTTTAAGTAAGCTCACTTAGGTTTGTTCTGAATTCAGGACTCCTTCCAACTTCCAGACACACAACACAATCGAGATACTATCCTTAAAACAGCTAATAATTTATATAGATATCGTCGTAGTAGGCTCCATGATCATTTCAAAAAATATGCTACAAAGGAGGAACACTTGCAAAACATGCCAACCGATGTTAGTGAAGCTGAATGGAAATTCTTGGTTGAATATTTCGATTCTGATACTTTTAAGGTAATTAATTAGGAATACGCCAAAATTAAATTGATTTAACTTTGTAAATTATTTATTTTCTTATTCTACTTCTTATAATTCATCAAGAAAATATTACAAATTCAAATTCAATACAGAGAATGAGTGATCGAAACAAAACCAATAAGGCAAAACAAGAAATGAATCATATTTTCGGCAGAAAATCCTTCCAGGCAATATCTTTTGAACAGGTAACATATATCTTTATTTTGACGAATTTTGGTTATTTTTAATTTTATAACATAATTTGATTTATTTTGGTAGAGAGATACAAGCACTGGAAAAGAGCCAAACTTGCAGAAACTTTGGGAATTGACTCACATGAAGAATGGACATTGGGTTAATGATGCATCTGCTGAGTTACATGTACGTGCGAGACTATTATCCTTATTCCTAGAATGTGAGTCCGTAGAAATAAATATTAAAAGTTAAAGCCTATATAATTTTTTGTAGGATAAGGTGAAAGAATATATTGCTGAACAAATTCAAGAAATTGAAGAAGATACTGATTTGGACCCAGTTGTTAATGCTGCATTTGTGAAAGTTGTTGGAGAAACCGTCAAGTTATTGCCGTGGTCAAGGTTCGGGAGTTAATTCAACAAGTAGGAGATCCATGAATAAAATTCAAGAGAAACTACAAGCACAACAAAAAGAGGCAGAAGAAGAGCGTCGTAAACGAGAGAGTGTAGAATGCCAGCTAAAGGAAGTAAAGNCAAAAATCACGAAGTTGGCAAAACCCGAGCCCCGAGCCCACTTCTCGAAAAATTACGAAATTTACATCACCGAGATCCTCGTCTCGCCACGAGTCCGTACATATAAAATACACAAGAATCGGAGTCCATTTGACCCCTCAAATCAACAATTCAAACCTTCTTAGGTTTCAAGCCCTAACCTCCATTTTTACCCCTTTAATTCCTTGAATTTCAGTGTTTAAATCCTTTTTTTACACCATAACAACATTATTCGAGTTTATAAATTCATACCTGATGGAATCCCCTTCAAATCCTCTCCAAATCGCCCAAAATCGCCTCTTCCCGAAGTCTAAAATGTTTTCTTAACTTTTGAAATTCGCGAACACTGTTCATTAAACACAGTCCAGATTTCCGCTTTTGCGGTCCTTTAACCGCACCTGCGGTACCGCTTATGCGACAATTTGACCGCTTATGCGGTCTCAGTTAAAACACCTGGGACCGCTTATGCGATCCAAACACCCGCTTATGCGGTTTACCTCCAACTGCTTCTGCGGTATATTAACCGCTTATGCGGACTCGCTGAAGCGCCTACACGTCCGCTTATGCGGAAAAATCCCTGGGCCACACCTGCCCGCTTCTGCGACCTCTCCGCCGCATCTGCGGAACCGCTTCTGCGCCTCCTTTTTCCGCATCTTTTCCGCAGATGCGGAAATACTACAAGACAGAAAAATCTGACCTGCAACAAATGCTTCCAACTCCCGTTTAACCACCCGAAATCACCCCGAGGTCCCCGGGACCTCAACCAAAAGCACCAACACATCCTATAACCTTATTCAAACCTGTTCCAATCCTCAAAACACGTCAAACAACGCTAAAACCATTAAATCACATCGGATTCAAGCCTAAGTTTCTTAAAAACTTCCGAAACTCACATTCGATCAAAAACCCAACCAAACGACGTCCAAATGACCTGAAATTTTACCCGCACATCCAAAATCACCTAACGAAGCTACTGCAACTCACGGAATTCCATTCCGACCCCCAGGTCAAAATCTCACCTATCAACCGGAATTCGCCAAAATTCAAACTTCGCCAATTCAAGCCTAATTCTACACCGGACCTCCAAATTCAATTCCGATCGCACTCCTAAGTCACTAATTATCCCCCGAAGCTAACCGAACCACCGGAATTCACATCCAAGCCCTCTAACCACATAGTCAACTTCCGGTTGACTTTTCCAAAATAAGCTTCCTTCTAAGAGGCTAAGTGCCTCATTTCCAACTAAAACCAATTCAATTCTACCCGATCATCTCAAATACCGATACTGAAATGTGGAGAAACATAATATGGGGGAAACGGGGCGGTAACTCACGTGACGACGGGCCGGGTCGTCATAATTAACTTTCTATACATAGAGCTAGTACTTCTCAACCCCCTAACAGAAGAAAATGTAATAACTCAAAAATTGTAGTTATGAAGATATCTTGATATCCTCTATTGTGTTGCTGAACCTAGTTTCATCTCCCCCCGCCGAAACAACAGTGACATATATATTTATTGGAAAAGAAAATAGTAAATACCTGATAATTCCATCATGTCTAGATTCATCTCAAACCAAATTACGGAAAACTTTTTTATACACCACATTTCTAGCTTCATTTGTTATTTGGCCATCATCATTATAAATTAAAATCTTCAATCCTTTTCTACTCGTTACGCGCGAAATAGTAACATACAGTTGTCCATGAGTAAATACTGGCTTCTTCAGAAATAATCCCACATGAGACAATGACTGGCCTTGACTTTTATTAATTGTCATGGCAAAAGATACAACAATTGGAAATTGTCTTCGCTGGAACTTAAAAGGTATTCTTGCATCTGATGGCGTCAACGTCATTATCGGGATAAACACTTTTTGTCCATCCATATTACCCAATAAAACCATGGCTTCGATAACTCAATTTCCAAGTCTTGTGATGATCAACCTCGTGCCATTACACAATCCTGATGACTGGTCTATATTTCTCAGCAACATCACATGAACACCAACCTTCAAAGTAATAGAGTGATTTGGAATTCCAGAACATTTAATACTGTTTAGGAATTCGGGTGTATGTACGTGCTCCAAAGCTAAAAAGGAATGATCAAACATACAGACTGTATCAGAACTCAAATATGTCTTCTCAGGACTATGATTGAGTGAAACCATATATTCATTGATCGACTCCATCATATCAAGAGTCGGAGCAAGAATTGCTCTTTGTTGGAGGTAATCAATGTCACTGAAATGATTAAAGAAATCTGGATATGTACTTTCAACAATTGCCGATATTGGATCATCACAATTATTTATGAGAAGATCATCGGGGATTTGGACTTTCTCAATGCCATCAATGGAACTCCCAATCCTTCCATCACCGATTGCTAAAATCCATTCAGAAATTTTTTTTAACTCATCCAAATGTGCATCTAATTGATCTCTTTGTAACCTCATATTCTTTGTTAGATTTAAGACTTCACAATGGGCCCACAAATACGAAGAATTAAGAGTAGCGTTAACAATATCTTGCCTAGATCATTTTGCAATGACAGGCAAAATTTGTCTGAAGTCGCCACCAAGAACAACTGTTTTACCTCCAAAAGGTTTATCAGCACTGGATGTGTCTTTAAATCTAAGAATATCTCTAAGAGTTTGATCAAGAGCTTCAAAACAATATTTATGCATCATTGGTGCCTCATCCCAAATAATCAACTTTGTCTTTATAATCAAATTTGCTAGAGGACTACTTTGCTTTATATTGCATGTTGAATCTTCAGTTGGATTAAGAGGGATTGCAAATCTCGAATGAGCTGTTCTACCACCTGGTAACAAAAGAGATGCAATTCCACAGTTAACACGATGTCTCCTCTAGATCGTATGCCAGAAGACAAAGTCTTCCAAATAAAAGTCTTTCCAGTTCTTCCATAATCATACAAAAAGAAGAATCCACCTTTGGCTTCATTCACTGCCCTCATAATTTTGTCATAAATCGACTTTTGTTCAACTGTCAAATTCATTAAATTTTTTTGATGTTCCTCTAATAGAGAACGACGATTATAACACAATTCATCATGGATTAACCTATTGCTAGGTCAACTTCTTCCTCATTGTAAAGAGGTCTTGGCATTGTTGGAAAATCATGAAAACTTCTTCCACAACTTTTCAAAATTTTTTTCAACTTTTGTAAACAACGATTTTTCAATTTATCATCTGTTAGCTCTGCCTCTGAAACAAAAAAAAAGAATTATAAAATTTAAATAACAATAATATAAAAAATATATTACATGATTACACAAATAAGGTACATTTAATTTAGCTTTTTAGTTAGGTTAGTTGCTTATAATAATGATTTACACAACAAAGAACTTATGAATGCTATGTCGTGAAACTCCATATTATCTTAAACATAAAGGTCATAAATTAAAGAATATCAATTATAAAGAATTAAGTACAAACATATATGATATGAGCAAGATTGCTGGAATCATTTTTTCGCTAGAATTTGTGTAGATTAGTTTCCTCTTTATAAGTATATATTTTTATTATATACAGTTGAATAATCTATTTATATTCTCGTATGCATACTGAAATTATGTAAAAAAAATCATAACCGAAAATATAAGTTTGAACATACCTGGATTAGCCTGTAAGACTCTTTCTTCATGGAGGATATCTTCTGCTAATAATTGCCATGTTGCTTGCCAAACATTTTCTGATCATGACATCGAATTCGATAACAACAACATAAAAAATAATTGCCTAAGATACGATGGCATACCCCAACTACTTGCCTCCTTTATGCAATCCACATATTCTTTGTCATCATCAATTAAACCAAGTGCAAAACATGCTTCTCTAAATGTATGATGATCATGATTGTTGATTCTTTTAAGATCTTCATAACATTTTGGACCTTTAATGACATTCAACAACAACCTGAGGTAGTATAGCTCGCCAATTCCAGGCGGAACAAAGAAAATCCTTCCAATTGAAAATGCAGAAGTTTTTCTTTTCTCCCATCTTTTCAACTTTGGTTTCCACACAAACTTAAGGGGAAATTCTGCGTAAGTTAGTTATCTTTCTTCAGAAGATGTTTTATTTGTCTCAAACCAACTTAAAAACATCGATTCCCTTACAGTGGGTCTACTGGAAACATCATCAATCGGATCATCATCAGAGAATATGACATGTTGTTCATTTGGAAGATAAAATGATAGTCTTTCCACAGAAGGTTGTCTATAGTGAAGAGGAAACTCCAATATTCTCCAAGCAGCTTCGCAAGGTGATATGTATCGAAAATTATAGTACATATTAATTTCATCAACAACCGATGAACCCTCCTCTTGCACACTTCTAGAAAAAGCGACGGTAGCACGATCATTTTCTTTGTTAACATATTTAGATAAGTACTTAATTGATCTCGATTGATTGCACCACTCCACATTGATGTGAGCGCCATATTTCAATAATAAGAAACGATTGTGCGGCACCACATACCTGTTGTCCAAGTCAATACCATCCTTCTTGATAGCTCTTCCATTATCTCTTCTCCTATAAATAGGATAACCATCTTCATCAATTGTGGTTGACTCAGTAAACTTTTTTGGAAAATGCTTTGTACATCTCCCATTCTGCATGTAAGGGGAAGATTTTCTGGCAGAACCACATGGGCCGTGCATCATGAAACTTTACACGACCCTATAATAATGAGGATCAACTGTTTCATCTGGAATTTCTGCTGTTATTAGTTGATCAATATCACCAGCAGTTGGATATTTGTTATGCTCATGAAGAAAGAGCAACATATGAGCATGAGGCAACCCTCGCTTTTGGAACTCAATTGTATAAATTACTGCATGAAGAAGCAAAATGAATTTATTGGATAAATAAATAGTTTTTAATCTATATTGAACAATTATTCCATGCAAAATCATGCATATTGTTTAAATTATTACTTCAAAAGTTTATATTCATACCTGATTTTACTGCTCCAAACACTTTATTGTCTCGCAAGTCCTTTATCAAGAGATCCAATTTGATTTTAAATACCCTACTTAAGATGTCTGGACGATCCTCAGGATTTAAGCCCCTACTCTTTACATGTCTCAGAATCTCGGGCCACTTCGGATTGCAAGTGAAAGTGATAAAAAGATCAGGGTACCCAGCCCATTTGCATATCGCCATAGCATCTTGATAATTTTGAAGCATGTATCGTGCACCACCTGTGAAGCTTGACGGTAGAATAATTCTCTTCCTTTGAGATGAAGGAGTAGTTTCTCCATGCAAAACAACTTCTTCTAATCCTTTATACATCGCAACTCTCAATTGTTTTTGATGAGTCCTATAATACTTCAATCGACCAGATTCAATCATTGTATATGCATCAACTAAGAATTGCTGAAATAATCCTCTTGCAGACACAATTCTTGGAACTTCACCCTTTCTATCTTGAATTTTGTACGCAAAAAATTCTCTCATGCTAACACATTTTCTTCCTACAGTTGGTTCACCATCTTCATTTAAAGGAATGTCCTCTCTGTATCCATCTTCACCGTATGGAAAAAGCAAAGGATATTGGAGACCTAAATATGCAGCATTCAATTCATTTATCCTTTGCAGTTGTCCGGATTGGGTTTCAATTATGATATCTCTATCACACATAGATAGTTCAAAATCTCCAACCACTAAACAGCTACCTCTGAAACGGTCGGTAAGTTGTATCTTCTTCCATCTGTGTTTCTTTTCCCTATCAATCTGAGCTTAATATTGGAGCTTCCATCTTCTTGAAATCTATCCCTTACCATTCTAAATGTCTTAGCCAAAACATTATGTCCATCAAGCATTTTCTTCAGATCAGCAACAATCTCTGCATGAAGTTTGTTTAGGTTTTGACCATGACTGAGAAAAAATAATTATATGAGAATTTATATATATTTTCTTAGGATGTACAGTATTATTTATTTATTATTCTAAAAATTAATACTATCCTCACAGCATGAATTCTATTTTGTACTTTATTTTTTGTATCGTAAATATACAGTTGCGCAAATTTTGGGGTGGATTCCGCAGGAGGCAATAAACTTCCTATCTGATGATAATTCTGGCCAAACAACTTGAATGTTCTTGGTCTACGCGTTTGATTGATTGAGACATCGACCTTTCCCCCCATTGAAGTAAATGAGAACATAGAGCTGTAACTCCTAACATTATCTCGAAAATGGTCAATGTGACGACCCGACCCGTCGTCTCATGAGTTACCGCTCCGTTTTTTCGCATTTCTACTTCTATATGCTTCGTTATCCATGTCTTATGTGATCAAGTTGGTTTGGAGTGGTTTTGGTAGGAAATGAGACACTTAGTCTCTTTAAGGAAGGCTTAGTTTGGAAAAGTCAATCGGATGTTGACTTATGTGCTAGAGGGCTCGGATGTGATTTTCGATGGTTCGGCTAGCTTCAGGGAATGATTTGTGACTTAGGAGTGTGATCGGAAGTGGTTTTGGAGGCCCGGTGTAGAATTAGGCTTGAATTGGCGAAGTTAGTATTTTGGCGAATTCCGGTTGATGGGTGAGATTTTGATCCGAGGGTCGGAATAGAATTCTGAGAGTTGCTGTAGCTTCGTTATGTCATTTGTGATGTGTGTGCAAAATTTCAGGTCATTCGGACGTCGTTTGGTCGGGTTTTTGATCAAAAGCATGTTTCGGAAGTTTTCAGGAAACTTAGGCTTGAATTCGATGCGAATTGATAGATTTAGTGTTGTTTGAGGTGTTTTGATGATTGGAACAAGTTTGAATGAGGTTTTAGGATGTGTTGGTGCTTTTGGTTGAGGTCCCGGGGGCCTCGGATGGCTAACGGGAAGAGTTTTGGACTTGTACAATTGCAGATTCTATGCTGCTTCTGGTGTTTTTGCACCTGCGGCTTGGGAACCGCAGGTGCGGTGCCGCACATGCGAGAAGAAGGCCGTAGATGCGAAGTTTGGCCTGGGGAGCAGCTTCCGCAGAAGCGGTCAATGGGGCCGCATCTGCGAAGCCACAGATGCGGAAATTTTATCGCAGAAGCGGTTTTTGGGTATAAATGAGAAACCGCAGGAGCGGTTGGTTGGACCGCAAATGCGGTACCGCAGGTGCGGTAAAAGGGATCGCAGATGCGAAAACCCCTGGGCAGAAGGTATAAATGGTTCTTCTTCGCGAATTTTTGAAGGGTTTATTCATTTTAACTTCGGACTTAGAGTTTTTGGGCGATTTTGAAGAGAGATTTCAAGGGAACTTCGATAAGGTAAGGATTTAGGACCTAAGACACAATTCTATGGTGATATTTCATGAATTAGGACTGAAAATTAAGGAATTTTTGGACTAAAAATGGAGGTTTAGGGCTTGAGATTAAGAGAGTCCAAATTGGGGATTTGAGGGGACAATTGAACTCCGATTCTTATATTTTTGATATGTATGAACTCGCGGGGAGATAAGGAATCTAATGATGTGAAAATTTCTTAGTTTCGAGAAGTGGGCCCGGGGCTCGGGTTTTGCTAATTTCGAGATTTTTGATATTTTTCGATTGTTTTCGCTTGGGCGTTGTTCCCTTAGCATATTGTGACATATTCGCTCTGGTTTTGGTCAGATTCGACGTGCGAGGAGGCCGATATGAGAGGCAAGGGCGTAGCGAGCCAGAGCTTTGGCCGGTTTGAGGTGAGTAATGATTGTAAATGATGTCCTGAGGGTTTGAAACCCCGGATTTGCACAACGTAGTGCTATGTTTAGGTGAGACACACGCTGTATGATGAGCGTGGGGTCCCTTACTACCGGGGATTGTGACTTGGTCCATCCCTATTGATGATTTCACTGCATTTTTGACTGATATTTAATTATTATAATTATGATTTGGGCTAGTTGCCATGTTTGGGGCCTTGTGCCGACTTGTAGAACCCTTAGGGTAATTATGACTGATTTTCCTCACTTTACTTGTTAAAAATCATATCCTCAGTCATGTTTCTATGTGTCTAAATAATGTGAACCGTTTTTATCAATGCTAATCCTAAATGAGGGAAATATGTGGGCTGAGATCCCTACCTTATATTATTGTGCCCGAGAGACTGTGAGTAAAATGACTGAGAGGGGTTGAGAACCCAACAGTGAGGATGTTATATATATTATGGATCAGGCTGCACGCTGCAGCAAATGCTTATATGGATCGGGCTGCACGCTGCAGCAAATCTTTATGTGGATCGGGCTGCGCGCCGCAGCAATATAGCGCTTGGGCTGTAGGAGCCCCTCCCAGAGTCTGACACCCCCAGTGAGCGTAGTCGACTATTTATATGGATCGGGCTGTGCGCCACAGCGATGTACGGATCGGGCTGCATGCCGCAGCGATTATTTTGATTTCAGTTATTGTGAGAGATATATGGTTACTGTGTTCGAGGAACGGATTTATACTTGTTAAATACTTGATAAGCTACCTGTTTTACGTGATCTAAAGAGATTTCACTTGACTTCTTCACTATTTTGCTGCTTTAAGTTGATTTACTGCTTTGATATAGAACTGCTTAGTGCCTTTACGTGTTTTCTTACTGTCAGCCATTATTTATGATTATTACTCACTGGGTCGGAGTACTCACATTAGTCCCTGCACCTTGTGTGCAGATCCAGGTGTTCCCGAGGCATAGAGAGAGCTTTCCTCTTGTTCATCATTTACCGGAGTCGTTGAGGTAGCTGCATGGCGTCCGCAGACCCAATTTCTCCTCCTATCTTCTTTACTTTCAGTATCTTAGACTATCTATGTATTAGGCTGTTTAAAGACTTGTAATAGAGGCTCTTGACTTGTGACACCGGATTGGTGGGCTATGTAGTGATGTTATTATGATTTCCGCATATTTTATCTACTGTTTCAGACTCCTATTTATGTTAAATTGGTATTTAAATTCTGTTAAATGAAGTAATGAACTCTATTAGAGAAGGGTTGTGATTGATAATTGGTCGGGCTTGCCTAGCAATGTGTTGGGCGCCATCACGATCGGGGTTGGGGTCGTGACAAGTTGGTATCAGAGCCTAGGTTACCTTGGTCTCACGAGTCACGAGCCGGTTTAGTAGAGTCTCACGGATCAGTACGGAGACGTCTGTATTTATCCTCGAGAGGCTGCAGAACCTTTAGGAAAAACTTCATCTTCTTGAAATTCTTGTCATGCGAACTTGTTGATTCGAGTACTAAACTTCTCTATATTCTATTCTCTCACAGATGGTGAGGACTCGCGCTACCGGACGAGGGGGACGACCACCAGTACCACCCACTGAGGCCACCAGAGGCTGTGGACGCGGTCGTGGTCGTGGCAGAGGTAGAGTAGCGAGGGCAGCATCTGTTGATCCACCAGCCGCCCCAGCTCCGGATCAGACTCCAGCAGCACCAGTTCAGGCACCAGCTGTGCCCATCGTGATTCCAGGTCTACAGGAGACCTTGACGCAGATCTTGACAGTTTGCACCAGCCTGGCTCAGGCAGTTTCAGCCACCACAACAGCAGCTACTTCACAGGCCGGGGGAGACAACCAGACCCCCGCTACTCGCACACCTGAGCAACTAGTGCAGGGACTACAGACGCCAGAGGCACCTCTAGCTCAGCCGGTTGCACCAGTGCAGGAGTTCAAGGTTCCAGTTATGCCGGAGGATGAGCAGCGTCGTCTAGAGAGGTTTGGTAGACTCCAGCCTCCGACATTCAGTGGTGCTGAGGGCGAGGATGCCCAGGGTTTTCTTGACAGGTGTTAGCGGATGCTCCGTACAACAGGGATTCTTGAGTCTAGTGGTGTAGCATTTACCACCTTATCAGTTTACTGGGGCTGCCTTCACTTGGTGGGAGGCGTATGAGAGGCGTAGGCCGGTTGGTGCAGCGCCCCTTTCTTGGCAGCAGTTCTCCACTCTCTTCTTGGAGAAGTATGTACCGCAGTCCCGTAGAGAGGAGCTGCGTAGGCAGTTTTAGTGGTTGACGCAGGGAGAAATGACCGTGACCCAGTACAAGATGAGGTTTTCGGAGTTGGCTCATCATGCCACCTGGATGATTCCGTCAGATCGTGAGAGGATCAGGAGATTTGTGGATGGCCTTAACTACCATCTCCGTATTCTGATGACTAGAGAGAGAGTATTGGGTGCTATGTTCGAGGAGGTGGTGGATATCGCTCTTGAGATCGAGTCAGTTCGCCGTCGGGAGCGAAAGGAGAGGGAGGCCAAAAGGCCTCGTGGATCGGGCAGTTACAGTGGTGCTCCTTCGAGGGGCCAGTTCCAGCATGGTAGAGGTCGTTCTTTCAGGCCTGCTCAGTCGGCCCGTCCAGAGTATGGTGGGGCATCTTCAGGTCGTGGTCATCATGGGGCTCAGCAGGGCCAGCCTTCACTCAGCGCCCTCCCAGCTCAGAGTTCATTTCGTGCCCCATCAGCTCAGGGTTCTTCCGTGCCAAGTGCATCTTCTAGTCACTCAGGTGCGAGGGGTTCCCTTCAGTCCCGATCTCCAGCACCGGGTAGTTGTTATGAGTGCGGAGAGTTTGGTCACATTAGGAGGTAGTGTCTTTCGACG